TCTCCAGTTTCGCAAGATCCTCGTCGATCTAAATCCGTGAAAATTCAAACGAAAAACCTTGATCTGTCAATTCAAAATCCTGCTGTGAACCTTTCAATTCTTTATTTCTTACGCATTTCACTTTCCTTTGAGTTTCTCAAATTTTTCATCGATCTAAATTCGGAAAAATCGAAATAAAGAACTTTTCAATTCTTAATTATTTATTCATTTCACTTTCCCTCAAATTCCTCGTCGATCTAAATCCGCAAAAATCGAAACAAAAAGCCTCAAGTTTCTCATCGATCTAAATCCGTAAAACTCAGAATAAAAAATCTTCCAATTCTTAATTCCATATGCATTTCACCTTCCTTCAGATTCCTCAAGTTCCTCATCGATCTAAATTCGTAAAAAACGAAATGAAAGACCTTTCAATTCTTAACTCCATCTGCATTCCACCTTCCCTCAAATTCCTCAAGATCCTCGTCGATCTAAATCCCTAAAAGTCGAAACAAAAAGGCTCAAGTTTCTTACCGATGAAAATTCGTAAAAATGGAAACGAACATCTCCAACCAAAAATTGACATGAAAGTGTCACTCGTCTTCCTTCGTATCAGGGTATCGATACCCAGAGAACGGTACAATCAAAGTATCGCGCTAATAAGATCAACGGCAGCGGCAGCACGAAGAAAGGATCCGGTCTTCGTGAAGGAAATCCTCGCGCGTCGAGAACCTCTTCGTTTTAATAATAATCACCGTTCAGGTACTCGAGGCGACGCAGATCCGCAGAAGTAATTTTCCAGGATATTGGTGAAAAATTGAAGAAGCTGGCAAGGGGAGCCGCGGTAAAGCCAGCTGCCAGGACGCGTCCTGTCCAGGCGTAAACAAACCCACTCGCCGAGAGAAAAGGAGGTATATCGATTACAGGGTGTCGTGGAGCGTGTTAATCTCCGTTCTTCACGGACAACGCCCGAAACCAACGTACCCCGGCACCGTTTTGAGTAGCTTAAGTCTCCGGAAGGTACGTGCACGCGGCGGCGTCTTCCCTTTTCCCTAACGAAATTTTAATCCTGGCCCCGGCTCCCGTACACGGGGCAAAACCAAGTTTGCTCACCTTTGGCCGGGTAACGGGGTTCTACGTTATTTAGCCGACCTGACCCATTAACACGTTCACTGGCCAACAAGTATGAGTACGAAGTTAACTTAAGACTTAGCTAGAGACCACTCGTTTCAGAGACGAGCTTGATTTTCTATCCCACCGTTGCAAGTGTGCAGAGAATTTTTGGAGATCTAGCAGCGCTTAAGTACCTTCAATTGAGAATATGTGACATACTATATCTAGAAAAAAAAAAAGAAAGAAAATTTCTTAAGTTTTCATAAAATATTGTAAAAATAAATAAAACTGTTCTGTTGGACATATTTTTATAACATAGTGATTTGATTAAAATATCAATGTCTAGTCTTTGGTGGCGTCATGAAAGCAGATGTCTGTAATTAAGGGTTAATTGTAAAGCAAATGACAAATTACCTCCCCTTTTTTCTGATAAATTCTTTACACTCTGATAACACCGTTGATTTAATTATTTTCATAATAATTCAAACATACACTTTTTTCAAATGCAAACTATTCTGAGTCATGTGTGGTTAAGTACTTAACGCTAGGTTTACGGACATTTCTTATATACCTATCTCTACAGATACGCGTCACATTGACGCGTGAACGAAACCGCAGATTTTCTTTAAAAAACAACTATTTATTTATATTCATATAAAATTTATAATAAGCACAAGTGGTAGGAGATCTGCAATCTTCCTTGTGAAATTCGAAATGAGTCAAAATCACGCGTCCCGTAAACCTAGTGTTAAGACAGGAATATAGTTTTACACAGGATGGGAACAATATTGTCCACGTGCGTTTGCCTAAGCACAGGTGAATAAAAGACCGAAATTAGATCTTTGTGAGATCACCTTACAAACTGAACGAGATGAAAAATAGTTGACATAAAAAATAGAAAAGAAAGACCCTAGAGAAATTATTCCTGCGATCGAATGAAAAATAGAAGACAACAAGTTTCTATAACCACTATCACTGTACATCGAGACGCTTTTTCGTTTTTAATAAATATAAAAAATAGCAGATATATCGACATGTCATTTGAGAAAAAGATGACAAAAGAATAATCTGTGAAGGGAATGTTAGAAGATAATTGACGGAAGACAGTATCGCTCAGAATCCTCCAACCGAAGGTTTCCCTTTTTTTTTTCTTCTTTTTTTAAGTAGAGCCTCTAATCGGAAGTGAAACGAGCAGCTAAGCGGGCGGATCCGTGTGTGGCGACCTCCCGCATGCAGCTCGAGCAACGAGGAGAAACGTAAGTCGAAACCAGAGACACGCAAAGAAGGAGAGAGAAGAGGCATTTAAGGACATGCTGGCCTGTCCAAACATAGGACATCTAGATAAATGGAACGTCGCTACTGTAACCCAGTGAATCGCTCTTCCTTTCCCTTTTCCGGACTTCCGTTAAGCCTTTCCACGAGACACCCTTCTTAATCGTGGAAATATGAAGGGAAAAGGGGAACTTAACAAAAGGGGAAATTTCTTCGAACTTTTTCGTTTACGATACAGTGTACCTTGAAAAAAATCGATTCGTACTAACTTTCCATAAAAATTATTCGAAATATTAAATCATCCCATAAATTCACACCGAAAGCAAAAGATATTTTGACGAAGAACCGAAGAAGTTTTATAGCGACGACGTAATGACTTTATTAACCCTTTGCACTCGAAGGTCTTTTTGCTACAGGAAAGTTTGCAAATCGGAGCACCTTTGAAATTTCTTTGAAATTAACATGAAAATAAATTGTACTATTTTATTTCAATCTATAAACTATACACTACTCGCCAAAAAAATTGCAACACCTGAAAAACGAAATCGCACAAATCTAACATTTACATATAGGGTAAAGTAAGCCTAATATGAAACCCCGGCATATCTCCGTTACAGAACTTTTGAATGTCTTAGCGATGCTGTTTTGTTTCGTAATTAACCGCGTTAATTATCAAATTAAATATCAAATTTGATTCAGATCAATCAAGCGTCTTCAACAAGCATATTTGTGCAATGCGTTGCAGAAAGCTTTTCAAGTGGTTCGATTAAATTACAAATACCTCGAAAATAGTAAGTTTATAATCATTTTCATAAATACGGTTGTATAGTGCATGCAATGGAGTTTAAGGCTTACTAATTGCGTATCGTTAAATAACGAAGACTTAATCTCGAAGCTACTCGGAGGTTCCTATTATAAGAAGAGTCTCATATTAGGTGCCCAATTTTGTTTCAGCGTACAAAGTGTTACCGGTGAGCCCACGAAGTCTGCGGTGCTGAAGAAGCATGATTTAATATGCCCAATGTGTGAAAAAAGACAGAAAAAATAGTTTTCTCATATTACGAACCCATTTTTTAAATCTGTGTATTTGCATAATTTTCGTTTATATTTTATCACAAAGGAACCGAATTTTCTTTACCATACATTCCAGTACCTTACAAAAGAATACATATCGTACTTTTAAAACATGTATCGAATTTTAATAAAAGTGTACTTAGTCGGCAGTTATGACTTCTTTAAGAAATGGGTCTCATATTAGGCAACTTTACCCTATTCTTTGGCGTGTTGAAAAGGGAAAAATGATTGAAATTTTGTTAAGAAGGATTTTTTTCCAGATTTGTGCAATTTCTAGGTGTTGCAAATTTTTTTTTTGCCACTACTTAGAATTTTATTAGATGGTAAACAATTTATAGAGACCCGTAGATCTTCTTTATCAGGAAAATATCAGCTCTAAAACGATCTCGATTGATTATTTACCAAGTGATCATTATTTAACGTCGCCTCTCAGTCACCGCTCGATTGCAAAGGGTTAAAACACCGAAAAAGTGGTAAAAATAATTGTGAAACGAGAAAGCAAATACGCTTTTTTCATCAAATTTAAACCTATGCTTCAAATATTGATCTTTCGGTGTAAAATTCTTCGCGAATTTACAGGATGACCTAATTCAGTCTTGACAATAAAAATGAGAAGAAAAGAGCACTCACGTTATTCTTAGGGTCGACAGCGTTGTTGGTCAACTTGAGTTTGTTGAAGCTAAGCGGATGTTGCATCCAATGCGCACCGGTTGCCGGGCTCTCCGGATGCAGGTAAATCCTTCGATCAATTCGTGGCTGAGGTTTTTTTTGATGTCCATCCTCTTACGTTCCCACAGGCTTTCTCGACGCCGCCGCCACCGGCGTATTTGTGTCGACGATCGGACGCCGGCTCCACTTCGAGGAGGACGCAATAACGAGCTCGACGCTCTAATCCCGTAATAGTCAACTGAATGGACGGAAACATTCGCCTGCAACCACAATCAAACCACAGATTTCGATTAAACAATCATCTTGTCTTGATATCTTTTAGTGTTTAATACCTTTAAATTGAATATTTAACTTAATATTTTTTAAATTTAATTTCTTAAAAATTATA